GGCTAACTCGATAGCGCATCCGATGCACTTTTTACCATTTTCCTAGTGGCAATACCGACTGCGCTAGAGTCGACAAAGTAAAAAATGGGCAAAATTTTTCAAATCGCCGCAACCACCAGGGTTGCCAGGTGATGACGATGAAAATGGTCAAATGTCATTTCGGGGAGTGCCCTCCGTCGAGGAAAAGCATTTTTGAAATTCCCAAATGGCTCCTTCTACTTTTCACCTTTTTGGGGTAAATCTCCGAAATTACCCTAAAATCGGGGAAAAAATTCACTTCATTCGAAAGAGCCAGCGGAGACTCACGAGCGGTCCATACCAAGCGAAGAGCTCCAATGTTGCCATGTGTGCTAAAAGTGCGTTTGAATTTTTTGAAAAAGTGAAAAAATCACAAAATGGCCGCTGCCGGCGCCGCCATATTGATTTTCCCGAGTTTCATAATTTTCCCATAGTCACGACTATATCTGGCGGGACACCTCATTCACAGATTTTCTCCGCTGGCCACCCAGGTTCCCAAACAATTCGGGTTATGAGGGCATGTCGAAAAACATGTTTTCTACCGTGGAGCCCAGGGTTGTCAGCTCGCAGAAACGAAAACTACCAAAAGTCATAGGGCTCCCCCGGCGCCACACCGCATCGAGTCTGTTTTCCGCGAAAAGTGCGTATTTCGAAATTTCACTTTTCTCCCAAAATCTCCTAAACTACCACGAAAATGGTAGAAATAGGTAGTGAAGTAGAAAGATGCTACCGAGCCTCACGACCGACCCATAGAACGCGAATCCGTCCGACGCCGCCATCTTGGAGAAAATCTCACTGGAAAATGGCGATTTTTCATTGCCGAAACAAAATGGCCGCCACCGCCGCCGCCATGTTGACGCGCAAATGAAAACTCCCCGTACGTGAAAATCGACTATAATTCCGAGTCGCCGGCGTAAAAATCCCCCCTCCAAACCCACCACAAAAACAATTGACGATTGCCCGAACAGAGGTCGAAAAATGCCAAATTTCCAGGTGAAATATCTCGGCCGCCATTTTGTTTTTTTAATCAAACCCTTTTTCATTGCCATTTTTTTAGCCCACTCTACGACCATTTTGAATATCGTAATCATAGAGTGTATAATGTAGAAATTAAAAAAATTATCTCGCCGCCATTTTGTTTTTTGGCTGTACCGATATGCCATTTCAACTCATTTTAAAAAAATATTATCAGTCTCCATACATGAAAATGTCATTTTCCCCCTCCTTCTACCCGAAAAAAGCATGGAGTGAGTCAGTGAGTCAGTCAGTAGTGGTAATTAAGCTTTATATATTATAGACTAGCTTTCGCTTGGTTGCCCCGGGCTGCGAGCAGCCCGGGGAGGTCACGAGTGGCTAGTGGAATCGGGGCGGTGGGGTTTCAAGTCCGCCTATTGTTTTGTCGGGTTTACAGTTTGAAATTTCCTAGAAAAGATCAGTAAGTTCTATCTTCAAATAAAAGGCGTTAAAGGACACAAATCACCATACATCAAAGAAAAAGTGTTGCCAGTTGACACTTAATAGAAAAAGAAATATTCAGTCGAAAAACGCAAGCAAAACTTAAAATAAATTTTGTATATATACTTAAAATAAGTTTTGTCTTTTATTCTCTTATTCTTATTTATTAGTAAATTACTGTATAATATTAAAAAACAATCGAACATATATTTCCATCAGTGTTACTATCATTTAAATGTCAAGAAATAATAGTATTTATTGTATTTGCATTATTACATTACATTATTTATGTAAGATTTATTTGTTATATGAAAAGGGAACCGATGTCGTGACCAGATATTAGAATAGATCAATTCACGACGCGATGGGGTTTTAAGTCCGTCTTCGTTTCAGAATGGAAGCTTTCGCTTGGTTGCCCCGGGCTGCGAGCAGCCGGAGGGGTAACGAGTAGCTAGTGGAATCGGGGCGGTTAGGTTTTAAGTCCAACTTCGTTGCGGAATTTGTGTCTTTCGATTTTTTTTTTGTAAAGTTTGGTTTATAGTTTGAGAACGTCTACAAAAAGTTAGTAAGTTCTATCTTCAAACGAAAGGTGGTTAAGTACCCAAAATACCATACATCAAAGAAAAGGGGTTGAAAGTTTACACGCAATAGAAAAATAAATATTCAGTCGAAAAATGCAAGCAAAACGCTAAATAAATTATAGTCTCTTATTCTTATTCAATAGTAAGTTTAGAATTAGTATGAAAAAGGATCAAGTAGATATTTCCCCCAGTGTTACCTTAAATAATACACCAAATAAATAAATGTCAAATTTCAAACTCATACATACGTAGAACACTTTTATATTGAATATCAAAAGAAAATGTTTCTCAATAATCTAAAAGTATAGAAAAATATGTTTAAAGTATTAAATATCGTGTCAAAAATTAGATTTTTTTTTCTCCATACTTGAGTATGTGAAAGTGTGGGTAAAGATTTCTACATATATACACGCTATAAAGACCCCGAATTGTCAAGTCCATCGAAATCAAAATTGAAATTAAAATGATCACGATCATCTTTTAAACATTATAAACCAAATGTTACCATCAACAAAAGCGATTCGTTTCTGGCACTTCGCCGGCCGCTGCCGCGGCACGCTCGCTACGCTCGCTCGGCTCGTGCGTTGTTTTTCATACACTAACCTAACCTAACCCATATGTCATAATAAACCTATGGAAGTTTTTGTTGCTTTACTTATAAACGAGTCACTTGTGGAACCGGAGCGGTGGGATTTGAGGTTCGCCTCTTGTTGTGTTTACAGTTTGAAATTGCCTAGAAAAAGTTAGTGAGTTCTATCTTCAAATGAATTATGTTTAACTACACAAAGCTCCATTCGTAAAATAAAAAGGATTGCCAGTTTACATTAAATAGAAAAAGAAAAATTCAGTTGAAAAACGCAAGCAAAACTAAAATAAAATTTGGAATGGATCGGCTTCATTTATTCTCTTATTTTTATATAAAAAGTAAATTAATATTTAGTTAGTACAGACATTGGAGTCTCAAGACCAGCTCTTGTTATGTTGGGTATACAGTATAAAATAGCCTAGAAAAAGTTAGTAAGTTCTATCTTCAAATAAAAGATCTTTAAGTACGCAAAACATCATACACAAAAAAAGGTTGCCAATTTACACGCAATATAAAAAGAAATATTCAGTTCAAAAACGGAAGAAAACCTTAAAACCAATTAACCAAATCTCTCTTAACAGTTACTACTCATGGCTCGCTTCGCTCGCTTTTTGTTTTAGACACAGTGCTAACATAATCGATTAATCTGGTCTTTCTTAATGGTCTCGCATTTTGGCTCGCTTCGCTCGCTCTTTATTTTGGTCACAGTCCTTTAAACGATTGACCAGGTCTCTATTTATTATGGCTCGCTTTTTATTTTATTGTCAGTTCTAATCTAACTGATTGATCAGGCCACTATTGATGGTGTTCTTTATGGCTCGCTTCGCTCGCATTTTATTTTAGTCACAGTTCTAACCTTACCAATTAACCAAATCTCTCTTAACAGTAACTTATATGGCTCGCTTCGCTCGCTTTTTGTTTTAGTCACAGTGCTAACATAACCGATTGTTCAAGTATATTTTAATGGTCTCGCATTTTGGCTCGCTTCGCTCGCTCTTTATTTTGGTCACTGTCCCTTAAACGAATGACCAGGTATCCATTTATTATGGCTCGCTTCGCTCGCTTTTATTCATAGTTCTAATCTAACTGATTGATCAGATTTCTATTGATGGTGTTCTTTACGGTTCGCTTCGCTCGCATTTTATTTAAGTCTCAGTTCTAACCTTACCAATTAATCAAATCTCTCTAAGTGGTCACTCTTTATGGCTCGCTTCGCTCGCTTTTTGTTTTAGTCACAGTTCTAATCTAACCGAATGACAATGTCTCGCTCGCTTTATTTTTCTGGTGAAAATATTGGTTTTTTTTTCTCACCACGCGAAGATTGAGTAAAGATACACAAACGGTCTATATATGCTATAAATATATAAATATAATATAAAGCTGCCGAGTCGCCAGCTCGGTCAGAATCATTCTGAAATTTATTTGGTGACTACTATCATTTTTTGCTAGAACTCAAATTATTCCATCAATTATGTTATAAATGCATCAGTAAATTTTGTTAAACAGTAAAATCACTGTAAAAAAAATATTTTAATATTTTTCATCATGTATGTCATTACATGAAAGTTTCTCAAAAATCTCGGTATCAAAAACTTTACTGTTTTTTTTTCATCTGGCAACACTTCAGCTGGATATATATTTTTGTTAAAAGTATTCTTAAAAATGTTACCAAAAACGCCAAAATCAGCTCTATAAAGTGAAAGTTATGAAAAATGATAAATTTTCTAGATAAAATGGCCGCTATTACAGCCGCCATCTTGAATTTTGAAATTTCAACCTCAGGCCTATGTAGCCCATCTATTAACGCATCCAACGCAGTTTTGACTATTTTCCTAGCGGCGATAATGACTGCGCTAGAGTCCAAAATGTGAATAGTGGGTATTAAATCTTCAAACCGCCGTAGCTGCCAGGGTTGCCAGGTGTTGGCGATGAAAATGGTCAAGTATGATTTTGGGATGTGCCCTCATTCGACGAATACCAATTTTCAAGTTCTAAAATTGTTCCGTTGACATTTACAGTTTTTGGGGTAAATCTCAAAAACTACCCTAAAATCGGGTAATTTTTTTCCACCACATGAAAGAGTCTATAGAGATACACAATCGCTCTATACACGCCAAATACCTGCGGGGTTGCCAAGTCGGTCAAAATAGAGATTGAATTTCAAACGTCGTTTGCTCTCAGTGTTGCCAGTCGATCGTTCTATTTTTTCCATCGGGTATCTTGAAAAGTTAAAATTAAAATATTTGCATCAAAAAAGTTCAAAAATTCGACAAAAATTGTTTCCTCAAAAATCTCATAAAGTATCAAAAATTTTCGAGATATTTTTTCACCTGGCAACACTTTAGTTACTTGCCTAAAAAATGTTTCCCCGGAAGTACTCTGACAAATGTCGCCAAGTGCGTCAAAATCGGCTCGACGTGGTGACGATACCCAATTTTTCGGATAAAATGGCCGCTGGTTTGGCCGCCATCTTCAATTTTAAAAATCCGGCTCCGTACCGGTGTGGCCGACTCGATAGCGCATCCGATGCAGTAAATACCATTTTCCTAGTGGCAATACCGACTGCGCTAGAGTCGACAAAGTAAAAAATGGGTGAAATTTTTCAAATCGCCGCAGTCACCAGGGTTGCCAGGTGACGATGATGAAAATAGTCAAATGTCATTTCGGCGAGTGCCCTCCGTCGAGGAAAAGCATTTTTGAAATTCTCAAATGGCTCCTTCTACTTTTCACGTTTTTGGGGTAAATATCCGAAATTACCCTAAAATCGGGGAAAATTTTCACCTCATTCGAAGGAGCCAGCGGAGACTCACGACCAGTCCATACCAGGCGAAGAGCTCCGATGTTGCCATGTGTGCTAAAAGTGCGTTTGAATTTTTCGAAAAAGTGAAAAAATCACAAAATGGCCGCTGCCGGCGCCGCCATATTGATTTTCCCGAGTTTCATAATTTTCCCATAGTCACGACTATATCAGGCAAGGGACCTCATTCACAGATTTTCTCCGCTGGCCACCCAGGTTCCCAAACAATTCGGGTTATGAGGGCATGTCGAAAAAAATGTTTTCTACCGTGGAGTCCAGGGTTGTCAGCTCGCAGAAACGAAAACTACCAAAAGTCATAGGGCTCCCCCGGCGCCACACCGCATCGAGTCTGTTTTCTGAGAAAAGTGCGTATTTCGAAATTTCACTTTTCTCCCAAAATCTCATAAACTACCACGTAAATGGTAGAAATCGGTAGTGAAATAGAAAGATCGCACCGAGCCCCATGACCGCCCCATACGACATGAATCCGTCCGACGCCGCCATCTTGGAGAAAATCTCACTGGAAAATGGCGATTTTTCATTGCCGAAACAAAATGGCCGCCCCCGCCGCCGCCATGTTGACGCGCAAATGAAAACTCCCCGTACGTGAAAATCGACTATACTTCCGAGCTCGCAGGCGCAAAAATCCCCCCTCCGAACCCACCACAAAACAATTGACGATTGCCCGAACAGAGGTCGAAAAATGCCAAATTTCGAGGTGAAATATCTCGGCCGCCATTTTGTTTTTTTAATCAAACCCTTTTTCATTGCCATTTTTTTAGCCCACTCTACGACCATTTTGAATATCGTAATCATAGAGTGTATAATGTAGAAATTAAAAAAATTATCTCGCCGCCATTTTGTTTTTTGGCTGAACCGATATGCCATTTCAACTCATTTTAAAAAAATATTATCAGTCTCCATACATGAAAATGTCATTTTCCCCCTCTTTCTACCCGAAAAAAGCATGGAGTGAGTCAGTCAGTCAGTACACCATTAGCGTAGAAAAATATGTGCCAAGTACGGATGTGTTTATAAATAAAGATGCAAACAAAACCAAGAATTTGACAAGTTTAGAACATAACTGAGCTCAAATGATAAAATTTTGAATAAAACGTTTTAAAATTCAGCTGCTGACGACTGAAACTGAAACAGAGCTTTGATCTCAATACAGCTCAAGGATATGATTGAGACGTCGTGACGTGAGACGCGCTTGCCTACACAAAACCTACTATAAACAGATTAATATAACAAAATCAACAATAAATGTTAATTTTAATATTGTTCAGGTGAAAGACTTGAGAGCGGTGGAGGACGCGTTCGTGGCGGTCCTCAAGATGCATTTTGACGGTATTGAATTAGACCTGTTGTTCGCAAGATTAGCTTTCAAAGAGATACCTGGTGAGTATAACCATTACAAATATGATACAAACATAAATACTAAAAAGTTAACAATGATTACGTTTCGACGATCTCAGATCTCAAGTAGATGAAGACTCTTTTAATATAAAACAACGTAGGTGCCATCTAAATCAGAAAGAATGTACATAAGTTTAAATATTTTGCATATTATAATAGTAAAAATGGGAACTTTGAACTCGTCTCAATAAATTGTCGTGTGTATCAATTTTATGTCATAGATTGCTAAATCAGAGGTAATTGATTGATTATGTCTTAATTTAGCAAAAATTTTAGTTTACATAAATAGTAGGGAGTATTTTGGATTTTAATCCATAATAAGCTAGGTTCATTTTTTTTAAATAAACAGACTCATTGAACCTCAATGACACTATGCTGCTGAAAAACTTGCATCAAAAGTGCGTTCGTTCAATGAACGGTTGCCGAAACACCGAAGAGATATTAAGGCTGGTGCCTAATATCAACAACTTCCGTCTCACACTGCGCGCCATCAAACTGTGGGCTAAACGTAAGTGTGTACATTCTTTCATAATACTCATAGGTTACTGCTGCTAGATGCGTATTTGAATAACACGAATATGAGAAACATCTTCGTTAATGTATTTTTGATTTTAGTCTAAATATCTGTAGATATTTAGATTAAAAAAAAGTAAAGAAAAGTTAGACTAAAAAGTAACTAATAGCAAGGTTTTTCAAAATAATCAATTAATTTGTACAAGGATAAAAATAGATAAAGATTTTGGGAATGATTATAAATGTTGTGTTTTGCTCAGCTCACGGTATATACTCCAACACACTGGGCTAGCTGGGCGGAGTATCGTGGGTGCTGCTGGTGGCTCGCATCTGCCAGCTGTACCCTAACGCGTTGCCGGCGACGCTGGTGCACAAGTTTTTCCTAGTGTGCAGCCAGTGGCAATGGCCTCGGTCCATGTTGTTGAAGCGCCCCGACGCAGTTAACTTAGGATTTCTAGTCTAAGATCCGAGGGTAAGCAAACCATCGTATAACCAGCGGTCCAAGTAGGCCTGTAATACACATTAATAAATACTTTTCAGTTCAGAAATGACATTTACTTAACATCCGTTATATAATGTCTGTTCTTAAAATGGGCGTTCTTCTTTTTACTCTCATCGTAAACATTTATCATGTCCGTTTAATTAAAATTATGAAAATAAACAAAATATAAGTTCCAGTCAACTCCCTTTCTAACTAAAGTAAACAGTATTGAGTAGCTTGTTATTGTACAAGTGAAGCTAGCAGACCGCTCCCACCTGATGCCTATCATCACGCCAGCATACCCATAGCAGAACTCTACGTTCAACGTATCACAGGCCTCGCTCAAAATCATCATGGAGCAGATGAAGCTAGGTCAGTTGGTGTTTTAATGAATATCATCAACCAACTAGTTTATCTTACAAACTACTAGAAATCAATGCTACGTAATTATACTATCAGGTTTGGTGATTACAGACGAGAAACTTGCCCTGCATGTTCTCGTCTGTAGTGGTTGGGAGAAATTTTTCAACGCTCCAAACTTCTTCTCCCGATACAAACACTTCATGGTATTGTCGGTGGAAGCCGTTCAGGCCGATGAGCAATGCAGTGGTGTGGTCTCATCCAGTCTCGTATCAAACACCTCGTCAGTAAGTTCACACATTATGGTTTGTTTCATGTTACCTAAAATTTCATACTGTGGAAGTAGCACTCACTTTTACTTGACCTGATGCTTCACGATTTGACAGACTCCGGTACTTACCGGAGTCTATCGTTTTGAAATTTAATTTAAAGTCAAGCTTTATTTGATTTAGGGGGTCAACAATTGTTCACGATTATGATGTATGTAAAAGCTTATTTATTGTGATAAAATCATTAATTTTTGCTAGAAATACATTTTATAGGCATTATAGGTCTATTATAATTTCAACAAATTACAACAATTATTCTTCTATATGACTGTCTGTAGCCTTAAATAAATAAAAAAAAAGAATTCAAAAAGCTAGATCTAATAAATCAAGCAGAGTCTACAGTAGCACCTGACACTATTAATACGTCCCAAGGTAATTATTCCTTGTTTACCCAATCATTTTCATTTGATGTAGGATTTTCACAATCCAGTATTATTCAATATAGAAGATACCTTTTAGTGATTAAAGTTAAAGATTTATTCCTTTACTTACAGCGACACTAGAAGGGAATCGGCACATAACAACTGCTCACGTGAACACGGAGTGCTACAATTCTACACCGCTGCATTTCCTGCGTTGGCAGGAAATCCACTGCCACCAGACTTTCCACACAGTAAGTAACAGCTACACACATTACTTTATTATCATCAGTCATACCGTAAGACTCGTACGACACCCACTGCTAAACATAGGCTACACAATGGATCCACGAGACGATCGATCCTGCACTGTCCGCATCCATGAGGAACATACTTTACTAGCTTATTTCTACATATCTGTCCCGAATCCACTTACCACGAGCATTGCATCATGCCTATCATTGATATAAAATGTACATTTTACATATGCGAAATATTATAGTTTAAAACTTCAGTTATATTATATACTCAATTATACTTTCTTTTTCTAGGTTCATCAGTACCCATAGATCCAGTGCCTGAACTCAAAGGAAATGAAAAACTAAGTGATACGAACTTAGTATCAGTAAATACTTATATGATTATTTATTTTTAACGTACCTACCTTATTTCCACCTACAAGCCGATTATAAAATGCTATATGAAACCTACCCTTTCTTCTCTATGCTCCAAGCGGAACTCTTACATCAAAACATCTTTATTATTTTTACATTTCATAACGTGGTGTGCGAACGCCTAACCCTCTAGCCATAGGATAAGCTATGTTAGCCATGTAATTCTACAATTTTTTTTTCGCTTTTTTAAGGCTCTAAACAGTCATGTACATAGAAAAAAAAATGATTGTAAATTGTTGAAATTATAATAGACCTATAGTGCCTACAAAATGTAACAATAATATAATTTGAGCTCCTATGTTTGTCAAATTCAAACGTTACATTTTTGGTTCATAAATTTGAGAGTAAAACAACATTAGGAGGACCATTACATATATTTAAATATGCTATGTAAATACTTGATGTACTTGAGTTAACAATATTGGACAAAACAAAAGAATAAACAAAGCAAAAAAAAAAGGAACATATAGCAACTTCTGACAAGTAACAAGATACTAAGTAGACTCAATATCGTTTTTTTAAATGTATATATATATCACACACATTTATACATACACACACATATTTATACATACGGCATAAGGGTTGTTTGATATAATTTTAATTCATTGCTAGTTAGAATTTCGGAAAAAAATAATTTCAATTTCTGTAGCGATATATTAAAGATGTCTATATGGGTGAAATCATGGTTGTAAATATTAGTGGAATGGTATAGAAATGAGTTGCACGTATAGTTTCTACGGTATCGCGGAGGAACAACAAGTGGTTTCAAGCGTGAGGAGCGGATTGGAAGTCGAACATGAGAAATAAAGGAAATGCTACTGAGTAATGACAGAGAGTCAACAAGATTATTTAGAATTTTATAGAGAAATTATAGATATCATATCCAACTTTTTACGCCTGTTACGGAGAGACATCAAATTGTGTCAATGAAGAGAAGATCGGTATGTTTCTACTAAATTATTTTGGTGGTAATTTATGGATTTTAGAAACTTTTTCTGGACCTTCTCAATTCTGGTAATGTGAATCTCATAACATGGATACCATACGGGACTGAAAAATTTAAAAAAGATCCAACAAATGAGAAGTTCATGATTTTTAACGTATTTGGTCTACTAAAGGGTTTGCTTATTCGCAATATAAAGCCAAGATTCTTGAATGCCGAAGCAACTACGTGATCAATATGGTTATTAAATGACAATGCAGAATCCATGATGATACCCAACCCCCTAGTTTTAGTCATTATTTGCAGAACCTTACCGTTTATATTGTAATCATATAATATTATATTTTTTTTACATGTGTAAGATATTGTGGAACATTTATCCGTATTGAGTAACAGTTGATTGATAAAACAGTAAGCGCTTAGGGAATTAAGGTCCTCCTGGAGCTTACGACAATCGGTGGGAGATTTTATCACTCTGTATAACTTTATATCATCGGCATACAGAAGATATTGGCTATGTTTTAGTGTATCACCCATATCATTTATGTATACTAAAAACAGCAATGGGCCAATATGGGAACCCTGGTGAACACCAGATGGAACTGGTAGAAATTGCGAAGTGTAACCCTTTACAAAAATTGCCTGATTTCTGTTACTAATGTACGATTGGATCCATCTGAGAAAGTTGCCGTGCACGTCGGCATTCGCTAACTTCTCCATAAGCAAGTTATGATTTATTTTATCGAAAGCTTTAGAAAAGTCGGTGTACACAACATTTTATTGTCCATGGCTTGTGACAAAAAATCTGTGAAAGTCACCATATTTGTGTCAACGCTACGATGCTTGAAGAACCCATGTTGTTCACTGACAATAAGGTTACGTAGAGAGTGTGGCATTTGAGCTGTGACTATTTTCTCCTGAATCTTACCCAAAACACACACAGCTTAGAAATAGGTCTGTAATCTTCTATTAAGTCCTGTTTATTGGTTTTGGGTATGGGTGTGACAATGGACTTTTTCCATATACGAGGAAACATCCGCGGCACATTTAGATATCAAAATGGGATGTACCCCGTCGTAGCCTGCACCCTTGTGGACATTTTCAGATTTTAATTCTGTAAGGACGTTATTAAAATAAATATTAATGGAATTGATGTCAACAACTGAATTTTGTTGAAAACCGCTCAGATGATCAGAACGGTGACAACAAGATAGTATAAAAACTGAATGGAAATAATTATTAAATGCGTCACAGATCTCATCATCCCTAGAGAGAGTTCTGTTTTTATATGTCATCAGTCCAGGTAAAGAACTCGAACAGAAAAATTTTGGAAGAGTTTAAATTTTTTCTTAGAAAATTCAATGAAACTTTTGTAACATTCCTGCTCCAGTTTATTAAATCTCTTCCTGAGCAAAGAGAATGTGTGGTAATCTCATGAGTTCCCATAGCGTTTTCATTTGTTGTGGATTTTTTTTTTTCTAATTTCCTAGTGGTGGAAGCAATCTTCCTGAACAAGTCAAGTGTCATTCTGAAGTTCCTATTACAACGCGCACACACTTGTTCCACTGTATTTGTTTCATCGTTTACTTTCCACGAAGTTGCCGGCCAAGATTTAGGCCATGACGGCGGATTCACATAGATCATTATTTCAGTCGAATTACTCTCTATTGCCACGGGATAACCACGAGACCACATGGTATCTTTAGATAATACGTATGTCTGAAGACGATGTATTAATTCTTGTAGAGGAATCCTGGAGGCAAGCGTCTTTGACGGTGGTTTTATTTTTATTACGTTATGCTGAAGATATTTAAAGATTAAAACAATGAATGTTAATGGACTTTCTTTTTTTATTTTATTTCTTTTTTCGTGGCGTGTCCTCGTGGAGTAAATTCTTGAAAGAGGTTTTAACTTCAACATGCCCCCCGGGCGTTGAAAGCCGAGCTTTCAACAAGAAGTCGATGATGTGGATACCGGTAATGGGCATATCTTGCTGAAAGCCCTTCGGATCACACCGGTCGAGGTTTTTATATCCGCCACACGAGCAATACCATCAGTTCCGGGATGTACAGCCACAATCCTTCCCAATTTCCACTTTAATGGAGGAAGATTGTCGTCCTTGATCACTAAAGTTCCTAGGTCCAATACGCCTGCACCAGAACGCCACTTAGTTCGATGTTGCAGCTCCGAAACATATTCTTTGCTCCAACGAGCCCAAAAGTGCTGTCGCAATTGCTCAGTGCAGTAAAATCTGGACAAATGTTTAAAATTATGTTGTTGAAGATCTCGTTCTGGCAACGCTGTCAGCGAACGACCAATCACAAAATGACCCGGCGTCAGAGGGTTACAATGATCAGAAAGCGCAGATGATCAGAACGGTGACAACAAGATAGTATAAAAACTGAATGGAAATAATTATTAAATGCGTCACAGATCTCATCATCCCTAGAGAGAGTTCTGTTTTTATATGTCATCAGTCCAGGTAAAGAACTCGAACAGAAAAATTTTGGAAGAGTTTAAATTTTTTCTTAGAAAATTCAATGAAACTTTTGTAACATTCCTGCTCCAGTTTATTAAATCTCTTCCTGAGCAAAGAGAATGTGTGGTAATCTCATGAGTTCCCATAGCGTTTTCATTTGTTGTGGATTTTTTTTTTTCTAATTTACTAGTGGTGGAAGCAATCTTCCTGAACAAGTCAAGTGTCATTCTGAAGTTCCTATTACAACGCGCACACACTTGTTCCACTGTATTTGTTTCATCGTTTACTTTCCACGAAGTTGCCGGCCAAGATTTAGGCCATGACGGCGGATACACATAGATCATTATTTCAGTCGAATTACTCTCTATTGCCACGGGATAACCACGAGACCACATGGTATCTTTAGATAATACGTATGTCTGAAGACGATGTATTAATTCTTGTAGAGGAATCCTGGAGGCAAGCGTCTTTGACGGTGGTTTTATTTTTATTACGTTATACTGAAGATATTTAAAGATTTAAACAATGAATGTTAATGAACTTTCTTTTTTTATTTTATTTCTTTTTTCGTGGCGTGTCCTCGTGGAGTAAATTCTTGAAAGAGGTTTTAACTTCAACATGCCCCCCGGGCGTTGAAAGCCGAGCTTTCAACAAGAAGTCGATGATGTGGATACCGGTAATGGACATATCTTGCTGAAAGCCCTTCGGATCACACCGTTCGAGGTTTTTATATCCGCCACACGAGCAATACCATCAGTTTCGGGATGTACAGCCACAATCCTTCCCAATTTCCACTTCAATGGAGGAAGATTGTCGTCCTTGATCACTAAAGTTCCTAGGTCCAATACGCCTTCACCAGAACGCCACTTAGTTCGATGTTGCAGCTCCGAAACATATTCTTTGCTCCAACGAGCCCAAAAGTGCTGTCGCAATTGCTCAGTGCAGTAAAATCTGGACAAATGTTTAAAATTATGTTGTTGAAGATCTCGTTCTGGCAACGCTGTCAGCGAACGACCAATCACAAAATGACCCGGCGTCAGAGGGTTACAATGATCAGAAAGCGCAGATGATCAGAACGGTGACAACAAAATAGTATAAAAACTGAATGGAAATAATTATTAAATGCGTCACAGATCTCATCATCCCTAGAGAGAGTTCTGTTTTTATATGTCATCAGTCCAGGTAAAGAACCCGAACAGAAAAATTTTGGAAGAGTTTAAATTTTTTCTTAGAAAATTCAATGAAACTTTTGGAACATTCCTGCTCCAGTTTATTAAATCTCTTCCTGAGCAAAGAGAATGTGTGGTAATCTCATGAGTTCCCATAGCGTTTTCATTTGTTGTGGATTTTTTTTTTTTCTAATTTACTAGTGGTGGAAGCAATCTTCCTGAACAAGTCAAGTGTCATTCTGAAGTTCCTATTACAACGCGCACACAATTGTTCCACTGTATTTGTTTCATCGTTTACTTTCCACGAAGTTGCCGGCCAAGGTTTAGGCCATGACGGCGGATTCACATAGATCATTATTTCAGTCGAATTACTCTCTATTGCCACGG